ACGCAGCCCCCCCCCCCCGTTCCCTCCAAGACGCAGGAAACAGACGCTGTGGCGGCTAAACGGGACCCGGCGGGCATGGGCACGGCAGCTGCGCAAGGGACAAGGTCTGCTCCTCACGAGCCGTCACTGGACACCCGAGACCCCGACTGCAACACAGATCCTACAGAAGCCACAGCTGACCTTTTATGTGTCGAGACATTTAACATTGAGTTTATAATCTTATACCAGGGACGAGGAAACTCGATCACTTGTTTAGAATAGCAGTGCACATCTCAAGTAGCTTTCAAGCAGGATAAATAAGTCAAATACTGGCCACCCTGAGAGGAATAAAGACTAGACGAAGCACTAAGTGTAAAGATTCTTCTCCTCGTGCTATTCCACCTCAAACGAAAGCTCAACACATGCAAGGGCGTCGTGGAGTAGATAGCAGCATTTGAAGACCAACGAGGACCGCGTCCCGTCCTTACGGGGCGTTTATAAGGAGTGCTCTTCTCGACAGAAACCATGTACCCAGCGTCACCCTCACTGGCACTCCCCTTAGGCTCGTGGAGCCATGTTACTTACGGCAGTCGGCGGGCGTTGTGGCAGTGCCCAGCGTGCGATGTTATTTTCGTTACTTTGTGCCTAAGGGCGACTGTGGTTGGATATGGCCAAAAAATGACTTAATTCAAATGACCTTGCTCTATCTTTCAATGTTGGATTCTTAGAGACTATAATTTTATTAACTCAAGAGCCTTGTTGGTAGGCGACGTATAAGTAGATGAAAAAAAAATTCTGCAAATAAAAATATGGACGTGTAATTTAAAAACCCCAGCTCTGGTCAAGGTAAGCAGAGAGGGCTCCTTTAAAATCGATTTCTTCTACGAGGCCACTCCTGGTGCCCCTGGGGCCGTACCACAGGCTTGAAAATATGGCTTCAGATATATTCACAAGGGCGGCAGGACCTGCTGGGCGCCTGGCTCCACCCCGGAGAGAGGGGTCGCCCTGCACTTTCCCAGCATGTGTCGGAGACGGGCGCGGAGCCGCTGCAGCGAGACCAAGGACCAGAGAAACACCTGCCACACACCGACGCGGGGACGACGGCAGAGGCCATCCGGTCTGGAAAAACAGGTAATGCTTTTTAAAGCGCTCTTGCAATTTGAAAAGCACTGGTGTCACAGGACGACCGCTCCAGGATCACCAGTGCCACGGGAGACCATGACGCCAGTGACCGGGGCGCTTTCCTATACACAGCTCTGATCTGTGAGAGGGTCTGACCCGGGACCAGGCTGGGGTGAGGACGCCGCTGTCAACCCTCGGCACTGCCACGGCCCGGGATCTGAGTCACCATTGTTTGAACTCCTAATCGGGAGCTGAAGCGGACGTACGTTATTGCCTACAGAACGGGGTCGGAGAAAGCTTTGACTCTGAGTGTAACTGATTGGTATGGCACGAGAAGTATGCACTTTCTACAGAATCCGACAGGAGCGGGTGCGCTGCCCCGACGCGGCTCCGAGGCTAGCGCCCGTCCTGGGAGACCAGCGGGTCGGCTCGGCAGTGAGCCTCCAAGGCTTTCTTGGTGTGGGGATCCTGAGGCAGCTCGGACTTGCGACGCGCGAGGGCACGGTCCTTCTTCAGATCTTTCTGTGCCTGGAATTAAAAACGCAATGGAGTTGGCCACACGCTCGGCTAGCTGGGCAGGGAGCTCGCTGCTGACTGAGGAGTCAAGGAGAACCGGGAGCAAATGCACACCACCCCCATGGTGGGCCCAGGCCCTGGCCCAGGGAGAGGGCGTGGCTCTGACCTGACTCCACCCACGTTTCTTAGCCCCTGCTGGCATTTCGGCCTTCTAGGATGTGCAGGGTTTGTACTGGGTACACCGTACCTCATTTTGTAGAATTTACTGGTTTTAGTAAATCTCATAAATACCCTCTTATTTCATAAAACCAAAGCCATTATATGGCCATGCCCATTATGAAAGCATTTCAGAAAACAGAGATTTCCTTTGGAGGTAAGTAAAGAATGAAAGAAAAACACATCCTAAAACCAGTAAGATCTAAAACTTGGCCAAATTTGAAAAAAAAAAATTTAAAGGGGCATGAAAATGGGTCTTATAGGGAAAAGAAAACCAGGACCAGCAGTTGGTGTAAGGGCTATGTCGCTGGACTCCCATGTAGTCAACCGCAGTTCGAGTCTTGGGCCCGGTGGCTTATGCTTACACTGGGTGCGTGTGTGTGCACGTGCCCAAGATCCCAAGAGGAGAATGGAGGAGAGGGGATTGTGGCATGGCCATCCCCCAATCTCTCGCTATCTGTCTGTCTTTCTGGCAAGTGCACGCACCCTATAGCAAAAAACTCTCTCTCAAAAAGAAAAAAAAAAAAAAAAGAAAAATGCTAGTCCTTAGAAAAATTGTATTTACTTAAAAAAATTATTTACTTGTATTTCATTATTTACAAAAACATTCCCAATACAAAGGGTAGGAAATAAAAGACTTCCTTCCCCATTTCACTCTCTTTCTGCAGTTTAAGAAATTCTGGTTTTACTTTAGCAAAAAGCTGAGTGAATTCCATTTTCTCATGGGCCTCACTTATGGGCAGCGTTCATCTCCATGGTAAGAGCTAACAAGTAGCCCAGCTGGAGAGTGGGGCCCCTGCACTCATAACCAGCGCTTGACAAATGAACAACTAGGGCCAGCAGGTGGCGTAATGGTCACATTGCCGGACTCCCACGTCATCGACCATGGTTCGAGTCCTGGACCTGGCAGCTTAAAACTCACTCTGGGTGCATGTGCATTGTGCCCAAAATTCCGAGAGGAGAATGTAAGAGAAAGGATTGCAGCGTGGCCATCCCCCTGGGGTATGTTTCCTCATCTTCTGTCTCTCTTTCTAGCAAGTGCACTATAGCAAAAATCTCTCTTAAAAAAACCAAAACAACAAAAAAAGAAACAACAAAAAAAGGACCACCATCACCTCAACACCCAGATGCAATGGATGCACAGAAGATGGCCAATTAGAATCCTTTTTGGATAAAAGTCCCTTGGCCAGACTCAAGGCTTCCTTGATTCATCGTCTCCATCAAAAACTAGACAGTATTGAGAGAAAGTTATTGGGTTGCTGGAAAAGTCACGACCAATTTTTCCGTGCAAAAATGTGTCAGGACTCTTCCGACGACCCAATACTTTGCAGTACATCTCTGAGGAAAACAACTGCCGTAAGCCAATTATTTGACAACAAAAAAATAAGCACAACAACTTGTGTTTCCAGAGAGCTGACCTCGGAGTGGTACATAAACTGTGCTTTGCTTTGCTTTCATGAACGACTCAAAAAGCTGCAGAAGTCATAAAAGCAAAGCTCATGTTTTTGCAGAGCTAAGTATTTCTTGGCAGGGTGCTTTGTGCGTTTATCTATGACAAAAGTTATAATTTCTAGGTTTAAGAAGAATTCAGTGTGACACGGTTTCTGGGGTATTTCTAGAAACAGTGTGGCTATTAACATCCACTCGTGGGACGTGGGAGAGGCTGGACCCTGACCTCCCCCAGAGCGGGCTGCAGAGAGCCGCAGGTCACCAGGCACAGTACTTGTCAGAGCCTCGGCCTGCGGAGCACGTGTGCCTTCCCATGGGGAACTCGGGGCTGAGACTCAATTTTATGCCCTTTCTGTACTGATCTGTAAAACAAAACAAAGCAAAGAAAAGGAAAAGAGAACCAAGATTTTAATGATCTGAGAGATGTAATTACTGCTGGAACAGGCGCTCCAGAGAGGAGGAACATTTTAATAGAAAAAGGCAACAGTAAAAGCCGTGGGGCTGGAACCCGAGAAGGCACCCCTGGAACAGGGAAGCAGTGCGCGGGCCGGAGCCTCTGCTCAGGCCTTCTGAGTGGGTGTGCACGGCAGAGGATAATGGCACAGACACACGGGGAAAAACGAGAGCAACAGAGGCAGGGAAGGACGAGACATCATGCAGACGGTGGCCCTGGGCGCGTCCCACTAGGTGGGCGGCAGACATGCTGGATGGGCAGGACGGTGAGGAAGATGGAAAAGCGCTGGTTGTGACGCCGCTGCTGAGACATGAGCCGGAAAGCCACGGCCTCTGGTCTGCGGCAGGTCGGCAGAGCCCCGGGCCTGGGCACGCCCTGGGCCTGGGCACGCCCCGGGCCCGGCTTCCTCCTCCTCAGAGGTACACATCCACCTCTCCTGCTAATCAGGGACAGAGCGATCCGAATCTGCTCAGGGGCCATCTTTCTGGCACTTGGTCTTGGTCATCGCAAGCTGGGATGACAGGGAGGGAGGGAAAATACTTCAGGTGGCCATCTTCCCTCGACAAGAAGCCTTACGTGTGCTCCGTACGAGGAGCGAGAGCCTGCACCGCCCACCGCTCGCCTCTACACCTTCCTGACTTGCATGGTCGACACTGCTTTTCTCGTGACCAACTGTCAAAACGAAAAGTGCGAACAGTTGAAATGGCTTCGATAGAAATGTCATTCACATGAAATGTACTAGCTTTTTGGGATGTTCTGGGTAGGGTTAGATACATTTCTCAGAGGAAATGCAGATAATGGCCTAGCAGGCAAACACTTGGTTGACTTTGTCCACAAACATCCACCAACTCCTCTCCACAGGCAGGAGGGGGCTCCTGTCCACCTCCTCCTGCAACGCACGGTCCACCTCACCCCACCCTGACTCGACATTCAAATCCTTTTAATTTTATTTTTACTATTCTTATTTTTTTTAAACATTTGATCACTAATTCAAATTTTTTTTAAAATGTAGAATTATTAAAAAACAAAACAAAACAAAACTGAAGGAGCATTGAAAATATTCAGATTACTGAAGATAAAAAAGCCAGAAAGCTTAATTTGCAGGAAGCAGGCTGCTGGGTCTGAGACTCGAACCGTAGTCAGCCATGTGGGAGTCCAGTGTCTTTGACCACCACGCCATCTGCTGGCCCCTCACTTACTCTTTGTCTGGCTTTAATTCTGACCTAAGTCAAAGAATGTAACAAAATGAAAAATCCTCCAATCCTAAAATATTTAATGCCTAAAAATCACTTGTAAACTGTCGAGCTTCTTTTGAACTTTGTGTGAGCTACTCGGATTATAAAAACAAGCATAGTTATGAACCCCTCACGGGCAGGTATCGATGTGATTTCCTTTGGAGTATCTGCAGGTGAGGAGGCCAATTTGCTTGTCTTCAGCAAACTTGAAGCCGTAAAATCAAAATGCTAATACAAATGCAATTCCTTAATTTCTTTTCCAAGTTAAAAAAAAAAAAAAAAGAGGGAAATGAAAACCCTCACACATAGAACAGAGGAAAATATACAGATTTTTCCATATTTTTGATGAACTCTGCGTTAAGAACAGTGAAGGAAAGCGTGGAGCCCACCAGGATGAAGTAAGGTGACTGATGTTCAGTGAGCGCTCGCTGAGCTTTCCGATTGTATTTCTGGTGTTTTCAAGCTCTGATGAGCTGAAAGGAGCATTCATCGCCTATTTCTGAGTTCAGTCAAGGAACCTGGGCAGGAAGGGGGTCACGCGTGCAGCTGGCCACACACAGGCCTTGCGCCAAGAGCCTGTTCCCTGTCCAGCACTTGGAAAAAGGAGCTTCGACCAAGACCGTGCGATCCAAGTGTCGCCAGCTCTCTGTGTAGCTCTCCCAGTAGTAAGGCTAGGAGGCACAAAGGGGCCAGCAGGTGGTGTGGGCTAAGGTGCTGGATCCCACATGGCTGACTGCAGTCTGAGTCCTGAACCCGGTGGCTTGAAAAACACACTGGGTGCATGCATGTGTGTGTGCCTGAAACTTCGAGAGAGGATGGAGAAGCATTGTGGTGTGGCCGTCACCCTTGGGGGGTGATTTCTTACTTTCCCTCTCTCTCTGTGGAGCACATGTGCCGTATAGCTAAAATCTAAAAAAAAAAAAAAAAGAAAAAAAGTACAGAGGAATTGGGTGATGTTAATATTAGTAATATTTAAAACAATTCAAGCCAGTATGGTCAAAATACGATCACTTCAACATGTAATAAATAAAAACCTTGGGTTGATGCTGCACATTCTACACTTCCTGGGGCCCCTGGACACTTGCTCTGCAGCTGTCTAGGCTGTCCAGATGGCACGCTCTTGGCGACCGACACCGACCCTGTCTGACCAGGTGGGGCTGTGACAAGCAGGCCAGAGAAGAAAACACCTCTG